TGAATCACTCCTTAATCGTGCCTCCTCCCTGGCAACAACATCAAAAACTTGCTTCGCTTCGGAAGTTGTAAACCCAAGTGTAGGCGTCAAGCAAATAGCAATTTCTTAGTAGAGTCTAAGGTTGAATCATAGGGAGATGAGAATTTTAGAGTGACAAAGATTTAATAAAAGAAAATATATCTTGTGTTTGAGATTGATTTGGTAGTTGAATCTTAAAACAAATAAACTTAAATAGCTTGAGAAAATGACTTGGAAAAAATACTAAGGCATTTGATACTTCTTCAATGACAGAATTGGGTGGTAAATTAATCCTAATTTCTATTCTCAATTAAGAAACAACTAGGGAGTAAACTCAATTGAAGGATTTATCAATGATTAATAAGGAAATTCTCTAAGATATAATCAATATGCTAATCTAAGTGAATCCAAACATCCAATTGTTAATCACAAGTTTTTAACCTGCCCGAAGTCTATGATAAATCAAGCAATTAATCAATCAAATATCTCAATTCATATAAATCAACAAACCAACTAATTAGATGAATTCATTAACAATTCAACCTAAGCATGTACATCTAACTATTTTACTCATAGGAAATCTCAAGTTTTCATTATATTTAGTATAATAAATTAAGAGATTATATAGAGAGAAAACTTTGCTAAATAAGATGAATTGAAAAATTAAAGAAAAAATATCAATTAAAGCTCAAAAAATTAATTACATACCCAAATGTATATTGAATTTTCTCCTAACCTTAGTGAAAGAGTTTAGCCAGCCATTAATTAGGGCTAAAACACAAAATTAAACAAAGATTAAAGAAGAAAAATAAAAGAAATATTCCAGATTTGGAAAACATCCACAAAAGAGGAGTAAAAAGTACAGATGGTACTTTCCCAAATCGGGGAAGATGACCCAAGCCGTCTGTCATCGAGCTCTCTGATTGGTTGGGAATGGGGATACACGTCCAGATGTGGGTAAAGTAATGTCCGAATGTGATCAAAGTGTCGTCCAAACGGGAGAAGCTGAAAATCCTTGCAATATTTCCTCTGATGTAGAACCCCACGTTCAGACTTGGCCTTATGACGTCTGGACGTGGTCTTCAGAGATCTTTTCTTCAATGCTCTCCCTTCCTTTGTGTCATCCACTCCCATGTTTGCCTTCTTTTTTTTTTTTTTTCATTTTACCTACAAAATAAGCAAACACTAATTAAATCACGATAGAATCAAATATAGCATTAATCTCATACAATTAAGTCCATACTCGTGATAATTAACCCACAAATGATAGGATAAGGCTTAATCATCCACCATAATTTCCAATACCCCACTGTCATCACCACCACTACCACTTGGACTTCCATACTGTCCGCACTACTAACATTACCCTTGTCACTACATAGTTACTGTTATCACCATCACTATCGTCACCGCCACTACCACCACCATTGCTACTATTTCCATGATCACCACTATGGCCACCCAACCACCACCACCACCCCCACAATAATTACCATCACAATAACATATCCACCACCACACATCACCCCTACCACAACCACTCCTACCACCATCACCCACCAGTAGTACTTCTACCAATATTACCACTCTACCACCATCTCCCACCTTTACCCTCATCATCACCACTACTATTGTTTTTAGCATGCCTGCATACATACAACTTCACCCCCTCCCACCACCACTATCAACCAACCACCACAATTATTATCATAATCATCCTTTATTATCACTCTTCACCACCAAATCGAGGGTGGTGGTGGTAGGATGGTGGAGGTGGGTTAGAATAAATTAAAATAAAAGTTTTAAAAACTACATAACTAATTGTTTTGTATTAATTTTTCAGTTTTAAACTTTACTATTGCAATTTTAATTTTTGCATGTTCATGTCATTTAATTATAAAATTGATATAAACTTAATAGCTTGGAAGTTACAAACTAATATATTTTAAAGCCTATTATTTAAGATTAATTAAGACGGTGCCTATAAAATAAGGTGGCGGATTTGGATAAGACATGGGTAGTTTTACCATTTTTTCTATATACTCCTCTTTCACCAAGTGTTGATATTCTTTCTACATATTTCTTTTTGCCTTTTATTACATTTGCATACTTACAAATATTGGGTATTAGTTTACTTTGGGCAACTTCGATTTGAGTTAGGTTCACCCATTCCTTCCAGTGAGCGTGACCATTGAGGAGATGCTGTTGCGAGCGTCTGAGTTTGATCTTGAAGTTGCTGGTGTTCGTCAGTACCCTCACGCGGGGAGGCTCAACTACTTTAGGACAGTGTTCACACGACTCTCGGACTCGCATGCCAGCTTTTTATAATTTATAGTATCTATTTTATTTCATTTTAAGTTCATTGTTATTTTGTGTTTGTTTATGTGATATTGATATGAATTTATTAATTAAAATTATGTATAATTATGCTAATTTACCCAACAGACTGTTGGGTGGTGTTTGGCAACAATGATGTGTTCGAGCAATTGGTGGCGATTGAGAAATGAAAGTGATGATGGTGATAGAAATAAGGTAGTTTCGGTGAGATGGTAAAAGAGAAGGGAAAAAAGTAGAATAATAATAATTTTTAAACTTAAGTTCTTTACATTTTTCAAATAGTTTGATTCAATTCAATACTAAAATTTTAGGGAATACCAAACAGTCCACGAATTGAAAAATTCAACATTCAGTGCTTTAGAAGTAGAGTAATGCTACATGGACTTAAAAAGTAGACTTAAAAATTAGACTTTAGAAGTATTAAGAGCATTAAATGCAACTGTCTGAGAGTTATCATCTTCATGCAAGTAGCTACTCTATTTTATTTTATTTTTGTGCAAGAATACGACATCATATGCATTCTAGGAAATTGATCCACCACCTTACACAAAATATGAGACAATCTGTTAGCACGACATGAAATTAGAAGGTTTAAATCTTAATTAAATCACAAGCATTTCGTAGAAAAGTAAATCAGTCACGATATGATTAATAAACGAATCGGATATGTATGAAGCCAATTAAAAGAAAATAAACAACACGACTCATTTATATATCAGTGCTTGAATCTAAATGTGATACACTCAAGTGCAGGTGGTCAAGCTATAATAATAATTCGGTGTAATCCGAGATTGATCATCAGGAAATTGGTAAATTTAATAAAGTATAAGAAATAATAGGTTTTGTAAATAATAGAATAGATAAGAAAGCAATTGTAAAAATAATTTTAGGGTAAACAATACTTTAAAAAACAACTTTCTCGTTTCGGGATCCTGATTTGCTCATATTTATTTAAAAATTATATTATGCAATATTAATTATCTCAATTGATTTTAAACGTCAGTGTAGCCAACTAGAAAATATTTCGATGAGTGGACAATTAGTTTGATTGATTTGAAAATAAACTCTAAAGAACTAATTAAAATATTTGCAAGGAATTATAAGTATAATTCATAACAAGAAATCAATCATGTTGATGAATAATCCAAAAAAATGTACAAAATACTAAAATTTACTAAGAACATTCAATCAATCAAATAAATAAAAGATTTAACATTTAAATCATAATAAAAATTTGCCATAAACATAAAGATTCAAATAAATAATTACAGATTCATCGACCTTAACTAGACAGCCCAAAAAAAATACTCACAAATTCGTGGCGGAATCTCCAAAAATTATGATGGAAAAAAAAACAAAAAATAGGTCAAAGGCTACATGTTTGGAAGAAGAACGGATCCGCTCAATCGCCTAAAAAGGTGTATTTGCAGTATAACATTAATATAATTTCAGACGAATTAGGACTGTCCGATTCTCTTGCAACATGGATCGATCCCTTTAAATAAGGATTAAAGTCATTCCTTATTCAATGCTCCAGGGCTTGGTGGCTTGATTGGTTGGCTTGACGTCATGGCTCGATTTTTCAAAATTTTCATGGCTTGATCTTGAATCCTTGGCTTGGCTTATGAGTTTACTTGAAACAAATAAATGGATCGATCCATTTGCATATCGATCCCTTCAAACATGGATCGATCCCTCCAAATCAAAATTTTATACTGTGGATCGACCCACTTGTAGAACAGATTCATCCCTTCTAACTTTTTGTAATTCCTTTTCTGATTTAAACTTTTCAGATCAATCCTTTAATTCAAGTGATTGAATCCTTCCACATAATTTCAATGCACGTTCAACACTTTATAATTTTAAGTTATTTACCTACAAAATATCAATAATGTATAAACGAGCATAATATAAATAATGATATTATAATTAACATGATTAATAAAAAATCAATGTAAAATAGAATCTATAATATAAAACAAATTTGACAATCTCAAATTAATTCATCTAACAATCATTAATATATTTCTCCTTTCCCCCCAAATTCAACATTTTTGGCTCACAACTTTTTTAAAAACTACCCACTCAGTCCCTTCACATCTTCTGCCGCTTCCTGCATTTTTTTTTTCTGACCTTTTTCAAAAATCTATCCGCTCAATCCCTTCACCCATCAGAGAAGCCATCTTCTACCGCCTTCCTGCATCTATTTTTTTTTATTTTTCTATCAGACTAGCCTTCCCTGCATCTCCTTTTCTGTTTTTTTTTTCCCACCCTTTGTTACTCCTTGCCCCCGCTCTCTCTCACGCTCCAGCGACACCACCACCACTTCGTCAGCAACACCACCACCGCCGCTGCTAACCCCTCCCAGGTATGCCTTTTCTCTCTCTCTCTCACACACACACACAACCCCCTATCCTACCCCCACCTCTTCTCTGCACTCTTCTACTCAACATCACCCACACTTCTCTTGCTCACTTCTCTTTCACACACACACACACACCCACTCTTGATAGGAGATTCTTGAAATCAGGACCTCCACCCTTATGAAGTCTGAATCATATATAAATGGTTTGCGTTCACGCATATAAGTTATTTGTTTGTACTTTGTGAGCTATATGAACATCCCTGATTATTTGTTAAGGTATATGAAACTTGAGAATTTTGTGCAAATTATTAATCTTGGGTTGAAAATTTTGGCTGCTGTTAGTGAAATGGTTGGTGCTTGAAATGGGTTCCAATTTGGGTTTTTGGATCGAGTGTCGTGTTGAGGTTCCTGGGTTTTTGGTTGTGGAAAAGTTGAAAATAATTGCTTTATGGGGGTTAGTGTTTGGATGCGATTTGCGAGGACCTGAAGTGAAGTTTTGCTATTTTGGAAAATAATGAAAAGCTTTTGGGTGGTGCATATTCTGTAATATCATTGCGATTGAAGCTTTGATACAATTTTTTTTGAAAGTTCACCTATTTTAGATTACTTACTTTTGGTCCAATTCAAATTGGGGTGACCGTTGTTTGAATTGGGCTGAATAATAGAAGCAACAGTTTTTTTCCCTTTGTGGTACATGTTGCATGTTGCTGAATTTTAGACTTAATGCCCAATCTAGCTGTTGATGAGGGTGGCAAATTTAGAAATTGATACTACCTGGTGAAGATAATTCAAAATCACTTTGAATCAGGACAAAAGAATAGATGATGGAGATAGAAGGAATAATGAGAATATTGATAAGTATAGTTTAATGTTCCATTCCTTCATAGTATAGTTTAATGTTGATTTGAAATATTATATGGTTTCCTTAATTTATACTAAAGAAAGGGTTTTTTCATCCTTTCTTTTTTTTTTTGGCTGAGGTGGCTTTTGACAGGTAAACACTTAGTTAATGCTTGTAATAGATCTATTTGAAAATTTATGTTATTAAGATTCCCTGTTTTACTCAAAAATTTTAGAGCTTTAAACCGTAGTGTTTGAAGATAAAGATTTATTACTATGTTAATGTAGATAACTACATCCATATATTTCTTGCCAATGCAACTTATGATGGATGAATTGTGTACAGCAGGCGATATTCTTGATAGGGCTATTGAAGCAGAGGACAGGAAGCATGGAGACTTTCTGATGCTGGTATTGTCATTCTATCATGTGTCTCTTTCACTTTTTTGTTATCTGCATTGGACAAAAATTAACCATGCCTACCTCCCACCAGGGGAGGGAGGAGGGAGGAGGGAGTATGCCCACCTTCACAGGTGAAATTGATACTTACTCCTAATATATGTTATTTTGGGAATCCAACCTACTAAACCTTATGTAAATGTGATGCATGCAGGAACACATTGAGGGGTACCTTGAACTGTCAACCAAGACGAAGTCTTTTTTTACTACAACTGTTGCTTTGTGGGATGCGGATTTCTATGTTAACTATAGGTAGAGATGCCAATATTTTTTTGTTGCATTTTCTCATTTTATATTCCAAATAACTATATTTGTTTCGTTATTATGAGATCATCATTTTGAAGCTGGAAATTACTGTAATAGCTTGCTCTTGTGGAAGGCCTGAGATTCCAGTTTTTTTTTTCTCATTACAACACTAAAGATCTTTGAGTGTAGACAACCATGGGGTCTACGTGGCTAACTGCCTAGCCACTGAATGTGATACATAGCAGAATATGCATCTGTAGTTTGTAAACAGCGCGCGTTTAGCTATATTATTCTCAACGTATCATTTAATTCACTGTACTTTAGTAAATTAGGAAATTCTACTCTTGTGATTGTTTCCTCATATTTCACTGCAGCAACACTATTCATTCTTCAATTTTTTTTTGTTTTTACTACACTGCTTCATCGCTTATATGCAGATTGTTTTGGATCTCATTCTCTCTAATGATTTCATATTTTTTCTTATGTATTAAATTTGGAATACTGAAATGACATTTGGGTTGTGGATTTTAATATTTATGGAACAAAAAACCCTATTAATGAATGTTACAATGGAGCTTGAGATTGAGAAAACGAAAATCACGGTGTAATAGATGGAGATTGCCTGTGATTGAGGCCCAATTTGCTAACTAATGCTACTACAATGGAGATTTTGATCTATTATGTGCATCATTCTTAAAGGACATTTGTTTGTTTGTTTGTTTGTTTTTATTTATAAGTTTTGTTTAGCTTTGATCTGTGCTGTGCATCATTCTTAAGGGAGTAATGGAATTTGAATTCATGGAAGATCAATTATGCAAGTGCAGTTTATGAAAAGTTATCATGTGATCTCCACCTAACATAATTGCTTAGAAACATAAATTAGATAAACTTGATAGTAACATCATGCCTATTTTTGACACTGAACCTATCTACATGCATTGATTGACAATGTTAAACTACATTAATGTTTTATTTGATACGATAAAAAATGGAAGGATGACCAGTGAAAATCTATAATCTATAATATAAAATAGAGTTTGCTCAACAAACTTATCGTACGGTCTCAAATAGACTCATTCAATTATCACTAATATCTTTCTTAAAATCATTTGCCCATACAATAAATGAACTCACAACTTGAATTTCACCATCTCTCTCAACGGTCATGTTGCTTGTCGATCCCACTTTCCCAGATCATTCCTTCCCACGTCTTCTTTCTCTCTCTATTCTATTTTCCCTCTCTTCTCTCATGACAAAATTTTCAGACCAATCCCTCTTGGTGCCCTCATACCTCTCCCTTTACTTTCCAGCCAACGCAACCCACCGCCAAAGAGCCACCATCGCGACCCACCACCATTGGTAACTCAAGTCTAGGTATCCCCCCTCTCTCTGTCCTTTACTCACTGGCTCTCACTAGGCGATGCCACGCCAGCCAAAAACCCCAAATCTAGCATCTCCCCCACACCGTTTCTCTCTTCATTTCACAGATTTAGAATCACACAATTTTTTTTTGAATTGATTTTTATGATTAATTGTTTGTATTTTTGGTTGATTTTGATGATTTTGGTTTTTTCAGGAAATGTGTTATAGATTTGAAATTTTTAGTATGAATATTTTTGGTGTTACATCATTAAGTCACCATAATGGCTATTGACTCCAACAGCCACCGCCATCGATGCCAGCCAGGTCTCTCTCTCTCTCTCCACCGTAAAACCAACACAATACAACCTCGCAATAGCCACCAACACACCCCCAGAATAATGCACATCAACTATTTGTAAAAATTCCTGAATGCACCACACCACCCCCACATCTACCTGCAGCCACCACCCCACTACCCACATGAACGAGAAATTTTAGCATGTTCAATGATTTCCTTGCCAGTGGTTGTGGTTTTGCCTTTCCTCTTTCTCAATTTGACCCAAATTCAGCTTTTGCATTGATAGAATATTTGTTTGATTCTCAAATATACACTTTTATACGAATTAAGTTGTTGATTTTCCTTTCTTGATACCTGTGCATTCAGGTCACCAAAGCTGGGGTGAGAATTGCTTGAGCTGGTTTTATTTGGAACCAACATTAATTCTAAATGTTGTTGATGTGTCTTCAAAAGTTCAAAAATCATTTTTTTTTGTAGTTCTTTATGTTGTGAACAGTAGGAAGCTTCTCACATGGCAAAGGCTGCAAAGAAAAAAAACAGAATATAAGAAAGCTTAGTAATTTAGTATGTTTAAATGTTTTTTTTCAATCTTTAGTGGCTTTTGCTGCAATCTATTGTGAAAGAATTCCAATCTAATTTAGTGTCATACTAAATTGTCCATTCTCAATTTATTGTTATATTATTTTACTTTTGTGGGATTTGCGGTAGAATAAGTAAAGTAAAATGTGAGTTTTGATAGTGTGAAATATTTTTTTTTTTTGAGGTTTTGTTAGGTATAAAGAAATTTTTGTGTTAGTAGAAGTGTTGATATGAATGGATTTAAAGGTGGGGACCGTATTCAAGATTCCTCCAACCATCAGGATCATACGTGATTAGTGCTTAAAGTTAGCATTTTACTATGCCTTTTTGGGACTAAATGTGCTTTGAGGAGTTTAAGTAATGACATTTCAGGTCCTAAAGTGAACAAGAGCTCAAGGACAACAAATATCACACTTGGATATAACAACAGTGGATAAAGGGGCAAAATTGGAATAGCTTGGCACAAGGCAAGAACGTTCGAACTTGGGTCAACGTTCAAACATTCCCCTGAAGTGATTGAGGACCAAGCTGTTGAGACATGATGTGTTACAGTCAAAAAAGGAAAATACTGAGGTACTTGAGTACCACGTTTGAATGCCCACTCACGTTCGAACGTGCTCTGGAAACCTAGAAGATTAGATTATTAGGACTTGCTAGAGTGTTGCAGCAAAGACAGCAGAACCACAAAAGTACTTGAGTACAACGTTCGAAAGCCACTCCACGTTCGAACGTTGTCATGAGTTACTGAAAACTAAGTTGCTGAGTGCAGGGCCAGAGTTGCTCAAGACGTATGGTAGTAACCATCACAAAGACCACAGGCCACTTGAGTAGGGGGGTTCAGATCCTATCTGGCATTCGAACACCCTTAAAGCAAAGATAGAGATAACGTTCGAATGTCACTCCACGTTCGAACGTCCCACTGACTGGCTGCAAAGTTGTTGGTTTTTCACTTGGACTTGAGCGGCAAACACTATTCTTTCAGCCCCCTTTCTTTTCCTTCCCTATAAATACCCCCATTGTGGGAGCTTCATAGGGGAATCCTTTTCTCTTGAAAAGTAGGGTAAAGAGCTAGTTCTTGTACATTTCTTGTTTATGTTTTCATTTTGCATTTGTATAAACTATGATGGAGGCTTAGACTCTCCTTGTAGTTGAAGTCTTTTATTTACTTGTGCTAAGTCTTTATATTCATGTTGTGATAACCATGATGGAGGTTTAGACTCCCCTTGTAGTTGTACTTGCTGTCAATTACAAGTATCAAGAGAGATAACTCATCTTTTGGTTGTGGTGGAAACCCTCCAAAAGTAACTATTTTTCTTCTACTTTATTTTACTTCCATTGCTTGAGCTTCCTTTTTTCTTAGAGGAGTGAAACTCTTCCACTTTTTTAAAGCTTTACCAAAGCCGTGAAGGGTGAAACGTGATTCACTTATTCTTTGGTGAAGATCGGTTCCTCGTTTATTGTACTTTACTTTGTAAGTTCTCTACTTGGAGGGATGAACATCACTCACTTTTCTAGCTTTATCCAAATCATGAAGAGTGAGTAATTCCTCATTCACTCTTTAGTAAGAGATGATGAATATGTAAAAATTATCTGGAATTATATTTGTGTAATCCATTTATGCTTTAATGCTTTATATTTCACTTGTTCATTGAATGGTTGAATGTATTTAGCAAAACTAAAGTACTTTGTTTAACCATGGGTTCTTTCTATGTCACGGATAACTTTTGCATGAAAAAACATGTTGGTTCAAGGCAAGTACTTAGGCAATATCTGCATGATACATTTCAATCTTCACTATTATCGGGCTTTATCTAAAGATTAAAACATTAATGTCATGGTTGGATACCTTGTAGAAACACTTGCTTGTTTGTAGATGGGTTAAACTTTCGCACCGACAATTCTTGTCCACTTCTAGAAAGGCATCGAATCGTGTGCCTAATTCTCACAGTCCATTTTTATCTTTCGATTAACTTGCTGTTGACACGGGAGTTAATTGAGTTATAAAACACAAGTATAATAAACTGAATGATTAACCACATGTTCTAATACTCAAGCTAAAGGGTGACTGTTTACATTTGAATTTATCTTATATTTTGTCTAGAAAATTCTTGAAAAGAATCTTCTATTCTATTCAAGAAATCTCACCACTTCAAACTCTCAAAATTTTCAGTCACTTGGTCTCTATTATTGCTTACTTTAAAACACCAATCATAGTTCCCTGTGGATTCGACTCCGGACTTAACCAAATTATTACTACAACTTGACCGCCTGCACTTGGGTGTACACATTTCGGATCAAGTCAGTAAGCTCACATTGGACGTTCAAGTTAGAGTCTCTGTCTAAAGTATAATAAAATCTTCTCTTTTTTTGCTTTAACAAAAATTTGTTCGAAGTTTTGGATGTTTTTGAAAAAACCCCATTGCTTTGAAGCATTGGTGTCAAAAACTCCTCTTCTTGAGCTTGTGTTTTGAGCTTATATAGTGTTTTACTGGTGACAACTCTGGTTGTTACATCGAGGATAACTTTGAAAATGAGAGAAACAAAAACTAAGTGATGGGTTCTTATGGGATGACACCTAGAAGGGATTTGGAGATAGAAAGACCTGTTATAGTTCAGGTATAGGTGTTCAATTTAAACTCTCAAATGGATACCGGTTATTCTTTCTTGATTGTGTTCAACTAGCCATAATCCGTGCCTGAAGGCACTGTATAATTAAAAAAAAATTAACATTGATCGTTGACATGAAAAAATTAAGCACCAAGCATGA